GTCATATCAGTTGTTTTGCCCACTTTGGGTTTGTTTGTTTTAATAAAACCAAGGAGTAGAAGGTCTAACTACGAAGAAGTCTTTTGAAATCTTTGTGGTAGAAATGTTTTGCATCTGTACTGTGAATCCTGTGAAATTCAAGAGAATTTTCATATGGTATCTTTCTGTGAAGAGAATAGGTCTTTTTCCCTTCCTGTAAGTATATAATTCATTTTCATATTGTGATTTACAGAACTTGAGACAATATAAAGTTTTTGCATATCAAAGATAATCCTTGAGAACTGAGAAGCCTTCACCATAGCAAGGTTCAGCAAAAATTGTCCTTACTTTTTGGCAATAATACAGACAAGGGCATACTTCTTAAATGGAAAATAGGAAGACTGTCTTTCCATTTAGAGACTTTTTGCTCCTTAAAGTTAGCTTTGATATTGATTAAAAATTGTGTCCAGATTCCCCCAAAAAGCACTCTGAAAAGATTTGGTTCAAATTTCTTTATAAAATTACATGTAACATGTTTGTTGAAATGCACAGAGAACTCAAAAGACCTATTATAAATAGATGGTGTTGAATAGATTAGACTAATAAGCTTTCCTTATTTAGGAAAGACTTCATGGATATATGAGGGATAGTATCTACATGTGGAATGTGTCAGAGCAAACTTTCTTGGATCTTCTCACACCATTAGAAGACTGAACTTTCAACCCAGTTTGAGACAAATGTGATTAGAACAAGAATTCTGAACTAGTCTTCATGGACTAGTATGTGGTCAAAGTATGGTTTTAAGAGGTCAGTGAAGCCCAGAAATTACATATGAAAGTATTTTAGATCTCAGTTGTCATCTATTAAGTTCTTCCCTTGAGAGGATGATGTCTGAGGACCAGAGGTTAATTTCTAGTTCAATTAGTTGTAGTTATTTTGTTGTTCTTTGTTTGTTTGTTTATTTTTAATACCAGAGGATGTGTGTGTAAGTTAGATGGGAGTGGGGTGAAAAAGAGAGAAAAACTACCTTCTAGTGGAGCTTGGTCAGTATTACCTATATTTTTATGTATAAATTTGATGTAGGATTGAGGGTCAACTATTTAAACTACTATTTGGATTTCTAAGCTGGAAATTGTTGGACACCACTTGTTTTATTTATTTTATATTATTATGATGTTAAAATTTGCTGTAAGGCACATTTGTTTCACTAGAGACAGGGCGAGAGATGGGGAAAGTGAGAAAGCACCTCCCAGGGGGATGGCCATACCATAATCCTTTCTTCTCTAGTCTCCTCTTGGGATTTGGGCACATAGGCAACATGTACCTGTTGTGTTTCTCAAGCCCTATGTCTGGGACTTGAACCATGCAATTGGCCATTTAGGATCCAACCACTTTACCCACCTTGCCACCTGGCTGACCTTGGTTACTATTTGTATCATTTTTGTGTGGAGCATTTCTTCACTGTAGTCTGCCCCAGCTCTGGTCTTTGATCATTTAGACTATGATCACTGACACGCTATCCATGGAAAACTTCACCAGTATGTTCTTTTTGGAACTTTATTCTATCCTGAGCTAGAACTGATCCTGAAGAAGATTTTTTCATATAGTTTTTTTTTTTTCATCCTGAGGGAAATTGGGAAACTCTTTAGGAATTAAGAATTCTTTGATATTCTGATTATGTTCTTCCCATTTCTGAGAGCTTTTATACCTTCATTCCTTTGTTTGGTTGTCCTCTGTCTTCCCTTCTGCAAGGTTTACTCAAGTGGAGGAGGTAGAGAAAGGGAGCTTGTTGAGGGATTAGGTGAGTGGGTACGTGCGGGACTCTTTGTCCCTGCCAAGTGATTTTTTACAAAAGAATTGAGTATTTTTCTTTTAATTTCCCAATCGTAGTGTGAATTCTTCTTTGCCAAATGGCTTTTGGGGCTTTGCCTAGACCACTGTGCCAGAGTCGGAGATTCGTGTTGGCCAGACACTGCCACATATTGAAGAGGGAGCCGTTTCCAGGAAAGCTCAGAGAGCTGAGGCTCCTAGAAATCTTTCCTTGATTGTGTGAGCCAGGCCTCGACACTTCTGACCATCTGGAAAATTTTGGACCTGAACACCAGTATCTGTCTCATACATTTTTTTCATCTTATTTCATAAGCTTAAAAAAAAATCTTGTTCATTTAAGAGATATATTTATTAGTATTTTGTAGTATACTTTTTTCTGAAGTTTATTTCTTCCGAGAGAGAGAGAGAGAGAGAGACAGCACCCCCAACAGGGTCCTGAAGACACAGTCCACCCCCAGGCTCAGCCAGCCTTGGAACATGGGCACATGCATGCCTGCCATGCTCAGGGATGTCTCCGGATACAAACGTGAAACCTTCCCATGTGGGGCAGCCTCGCAGATGGTCAATTTTTACCCCTGCACCACCATATAGCCCCAGGATTTTGACCAAAATTATTGTATGTATGCTTACTGTAAGAAGACTATACGTGAGAGTTGCAAATAAAATAATTAGAAACAGAATTGATATACCCTCTACATTGCTATTAGACATTACTATTCTTTGTGCTATCATGGTGCTCAATAAAGAGTTTTGAGATGAATAAATAACGAAAAAAGCCCCTTCCTGGCATATGCCATGAGTGAAAGTCAGTGTTATTGCTTGTCATTTTCAGGTACTCTTGAGCAAGCAATGAGTGTGCATCTCTCTGTTCAGTTAACATTTACAGTTCGAGTTGTTGCTGCTACTCTGTTTCTATAGCCTGTCTTGTTTTCAGTGGCTATAAATCTGTTTATTACTGTTGAAAGATACAGGCAGCATCTCCAAAGTGTGAAGCGAGGAAGAGTTTGTACAACAAAGAAGCACATCTCCTATTTTGCCGTAGCTGTAGTTTACATCACTGTTCATTTATTTGACATTCACTGTACATTGATTTAGCTCTATGCTCATGTCAGATAAAAAAAAAATGATCATAGTTATATGCAGAAGTAGCTCATGACAGAATATTGCTCATGTTCTTATATTTTTTTTTCCTGCAAGTTAGCTAGCTAAATCTCTTTGAACCTATTAATATTCTCAGCCTTTATTTTACCTTTCAGTAATAAATGAATTAATGATTTTCTTTGATAAGTCAATATTTTTTTATTCCTTATGATATGTTAAGTGCAGTATTAAATGTAAGACATATCTTTGCCTACAGTCTGTTTTGGGAATTAAGACATGAACTGTCAATAGTTAATGAACAAGATGTTATTATAGATGGAAGTGCAAATTATTCATAGAACAAAATACTTCTGTAGCATTGAAAAGTAGAGAATTAAAACATTCTGTTGGCATTTACTACATGTCTACCGTGTGCTAAGGCATCGATTTTGAATGAGAAGTAAAATTTAGTGCCTTATTTATCTCTTAACTTGAGAGTATGCTGTAATAAGTGCTGTTGATCCTAGTCAGTCTCTGCAAAAAAAAAGTAGTGACATGTTGAGCTCGAAGTGGGCCAGCAGTCATTGGGAAGACGTAAAGTGGTATTCTTGATGATCATATAGACCCAGAACGTAGCTCTCTACCATTTCATCCTCTTAAGAATTATGGCTCAGATGTACTCTTATTCCTAGTGCATCAATCAGTTTTGTATCTTTCCAGTCAAAGTCCTTTTTTGTCTTTTGCCTCCTTTTATACTTTAGGGTGATCTTTAGTGAACTCACCCCTCCCAAATATGCGATTCCTGGGTCTTGCTTCACTCCTCTGTATGGAAAACCATTGTGAGCCAGGTTTATGTGAAAGCATCCAGTTAGTATTTCTTTATGTACCCTTTGATTTCCTATTTCTTGTTGACTGACCTTGGCTTATGTGCTCTCAAAGGACTTGCTGAGTCCACTTTTTCCAGCTCTGCTTACAGTTGCTTTTTGACTATGTCAGTGATGACAGTGGTTAACCTCCAATAGCCCTTGATCTAGCAGATCAAAACTGGCCAGTTTTCCTATCTAAGCTTATAACTCCCTACCCCATGTGCACACACAATTTTTTTTTTTTTTGATAAGGGCTACATAGCTGAGTCCACTTTTTCCAGCTCTGCTTACAGTTGCTTTTTGACTATGTCAGTGATGACAGTGGTTAAACTCCAATAGCCCTTGATCTAGCAGATCAAAACTGGCCAGTTTTCCTATCTAAGCTTATAACTCCCTACCCCATGTGCACACACAATTTTTTTTTTTTTTTGATAAGGGCTACATACGATCAGTTTTTATCCTGTGTGTTCTCTGTGCTTTGTTTCTTTGGAAAACCCCTTTAAGCTAATAGCTAGGATGATGAAAGCACTGGCAGCTCCTCTTGGCCGGCCCTTTCTCTTAGCTTTCAGCACTTTTCTTTGGCAGAACTCACTTAACTTTAGAGAGGTTGGCGCTTACCTGGATGAGAAGAACTCTTTTCTCTGGAGATCCAAAAGATAGATAGCCCACCCTCAGGGAATTCTGTTCTCCAGTTTCAGCTTAGTCATTTGACTTAAATGATAAAGCAGTCCTATGGGAAGGTAGCTCTCATTCTGCCTTTGTCAATATGAAAAAAAAAAATGTTTTCTGTTTATTTCTGTTCTGTTATTGGGAGCTGAATCATGTTTTAATTGAGAGCACTGTGGTTGAACCATATTAAATAGATATTTTGGAGTAAAAAGTAGTCGAATATTGGCAATATCATCTAGTTTAACTTAATATATGTTATTTCTGGAATCTGAACCAGCTATAGCTTGTTTCTTTAATGGTGAATTGTGAAAAAGTATTCTGGGTGCTCCTCTAAGAGAGATTTTCACGGAAAGCCAGTGTTAAATCAAGATTTCTCTCTTTGTGGGGCCAGCAGGTGACATAGTGGTTAAGGATGCTGGACTCCCACGTGGCTGACCAGGGTTCGAGTCCCAAACCTGGTGGCTTGCTTTCTCTCTCACTCTCTCACTCTGTCCCTCTCTGGTCAAATTAAAATAAATAAATTAATACATACATATGTAGATAAATAAAGATTTCTCTCTTTCTGTTGCCTTCTAGATCACTCTGCACCTGAATCCCATCTCTTCAGTTCACATTCACCACAAACCTGTTGTGTTCCTGCTCAACTCCCCACAGCCCCTGGTCTGGCGTCTGAAGACAGACAGACTTGCCACTGGGGTCTCCAGACTTTTCTTGGTAAGTGTTTAACCCCCCCCCTCCAACTTATCCTTATCACAAGATATAGTAATCCTAAAACTATGCAAATCTTTTTGAACAGACTTATTTTCTTTGAAATAATACCATAGTTCAAAGAGAGTTAAATGCCTAGCGATATGTGGATGACATAGTTAAGCATTGACAGAAAGCAAACACCTCCTCAATGTGTTCGTGTGCGGACAGTCAGGTCTAGTTTGCAGGTTTGAGCAGGACCTGCAGTCGTACTCTGTGTGGCCTGAGTTTGGATTTCAGCTCTGAGACAACCCCCTGTGGCTGCAGGAGCAGTGTAAATATTGTAAATAGCCACCGGGTGTGTGGTCTCTGGCCACACCATAATTGCACACAAATCCATTCTTTCTGTATATAACACGGGCCTCATTTCTGATACAAGAATCTGTTTGTTGAGAAAGTGACACAATGTGCTCCAAAATGAAATCATTTGTATTCTATTAAAAAAAGCTGGACCTCCGTTCTTGTGCAAAGATCCAAATATTACCTAGTATTTGTAAATCATGTCCTTTTGCGTTTGCCAGAACATTCAAGTTTGCTAGTTGTGGAGAAATGGATGGGTTGTTTGGTTGGGATTTTTAGGGTATGATATCATGTCTGATGATGAGCAGCACTGCAGCTTGGTAGTGATAACTCACGTTGTCTATCGCAGGAGCTGCGTGCTAACATCCTCACTGGAGAGCCCTTGGCTTTTGAACTGTTCTTGCCCGCAGACAGCCACAATAAATAGAGCCCTTAGTTTATAGTTTTCCTCTTGCCTGATGAGTAAACTATGCCCACATAAGGACTCTGAATGCAGATCTGTAGGTTTTTTTTTTTTTTTGTCACCTCTATTTGAAGAGTCTTTTTAATACTCAAAGGCACACTTTGAATAAAGTAAGAATCCTACTCGCAATAGAGTCAACGAATAAATTAATAAATGATGAAAAGGGGAACAGAGAAAGCTATCCTTTATAATGGACTGTGAATTTAAATATGGAAACAATTATGGAGTTAGAAATACTTTATCATTTTGCAACCCTGTGGTAAAATCTCATCAGGCGAGAATCACCAACAGATGCTAAATCTTAACGAAGGGGAGGGAGCTTGAGAAACGGTATAGTTAGACATTGTCAAAATACCTTTTCTACAAATTACTCATTAATTACAAAGGAAAAATAGTAGCTATATCCAGTAGAGATAGCTAACGACATTTTAATCAAGTGATCTAAATTGACCTGTGGGGCAGATGGGGTCGTGTGCTGGTAGATGAGAAGGGACACAGCGCCACTTAGGTAGTGTCCCAGGTAGTGTCCCTCATGAATCTAATCATGAGGTAGCATTGGACAAAACCAAGTCAAGGGACATTCTGAAAAACTGGCCTGCACTCTTCAGAAATGCCAGGCAAGGGGCCAGCAGGTAGTGTGGTGGTTAAGGCGCTGGATTCTCACATGGCTGACCACAGTTCACGTCCTGGACCTGGTGGCTTGACAATTATACAAGGTGTATGTGCGTGCATGCCCAGAAAACTGAAAGGAAAATGAGGGAGAAGGGATTGTGATGTAGCCATCTCCCCTGGGGAGTGAGTTCTCACCTTTCCTTTCTCTGTGTGTCTCTTTGTGTCTCTCTGGTGAGTTCATGTGCCCTATCACAAACAAAACAAAAGGTAATAAAACAAGATAAAACAAAAAACAGCCAATGAAAGACTGGGAAACCATTTCAGATTTAAGGATACTAAAAAGACACATGTGATCTTAAACTCGACTCTATTGGATGGGTGGGGGCATCAGTTGCTATAAAGGGCATTATGGGAACAGTGGAAGAAAATCAGAATTGAGCTGATGGATCAAAATATTGTGTCGATGCAATAATTTTTTTGAGTTTGACAGTGGTACTGCTGTTATATAAGAGACTATCCTTAGGCAGGACAACATTCTTAAGTGTTAAAGGGCAGAAGATCAAATAGTTGATTAAAAAGTATGCATGTATGGACAGAATAATAAAGCAAATGTGGCAATATGAGAAAACGGACACATCTAGTTAAAGGGTATACCAGAATCCTTTATACTGCACTCACATCTTTGTTGTGAACTTGAATTGATTTCAAAACAACATTTTAAACTCAGAATGTACTTTTATGAGCTGGTGGTTACTCATCCCTTAAAATGTAACCTTTTCTACAATAAAAAGGGAAATAATCAAGAATTATTTAGTTATTATTATTCTTCCTAGCACCTCTTTTTAGCACTTATTATATTCCAGGTATTGCACTAAGTGCTCCAATTCTTTATCTCATTAAATTCACACGATCACCCCATGATGATGGTGTGTTTCTATCTTCTTATAGATGAGGCGGTAGGGCATAGAGAGGTTATGTAGTGGTCCAAACCATATGACTAGTTATTGGCAGAACTGGAATTCAATTCCAGACGGGACCTGCTCTCTAAGCTCTGATGCCATATTGGTTCTCCTTACACTCATAACCATTGTCAACCTCCTGTAATTAACGTTACTTGTGAGAGTGAGACTATTGACTATGGCCAGAGAGTTATGTGCACAGCCACCCTCATACTGTCCAGTGGTACTGTCCAGTGCTGTGGGATCTAGCCGTAACTATTTAAATTAATTAATATTAAAACTTCAGTTCTGGGGCCAGCAGATGGCATGGTAGTTGAGATACTAGATTCCCATAAGGCCTACCGTAGTTTGAATCCTGGACCTGGAGGCTTGAAAATGGTGCTAGGCCTGTGTGTGTGAGTGCCCAAAATCCCAAGAGAAGAATGGAGAAGGGATTGTGATGCGGCCATCATTGTCCCCTAACCCCCAGGCTGATTTTTCATTTTCCCTCTCACTGTCTCTCTCCAGCGAACGCATATATTTTATGGCAAAATAAAATATTCAGTTCCTCAGTCACACTTAGTCACATTTCTGGTGCTCAATAACTACATAAGGCTAGTGGCTATCATGAGGGGCAGTTTATGGAGAGGTAATGAGCAAGGCTTTGCCTATCCTGATTTGAAGTCAAACAGTAACTCTGGGAAAGTTAAGCCTGACTCCTCTCAGTTGTGATATGGCAATGATGGTGGCCCTGCGTCATGAGGTTGCTATCTAGATTCATGTACTATTTAGTACAGTGCCTGGTAATGGTGAACTTACAGGTAGTACTTGCCATTGCTGCTGTTATTATTATGAATCATACTAAAGAGAGAGCACTTGGGAAGGATGTCGAAGTTACGTTTGTAATGATAAGTTTGTAATTATAAAATATCTCGTTGACTCCAGATTGAACGGAGTTTCTATTTCTCTGAGCTATAGGGCCAGATGAAAACTGTGGGCCACATGAGTCTTAGTTGTACATGTCACTTCTGAATTTCTTCTTTGGTATGTCCCTCTGGGTTTTACAAGAAAGTACCTTATTCCTAATTGTTATGTATTCACCTTAATATTGTTTAAGATCTCTAAGAACTACTTCTTGGCCCTCAGCGTAAAACACACTGACAATGAAAAAAGAAGAAAGCTTTAGTAAACAATGTAACATTGACCCTATTTGGAGCTCACCTCCTGTAAAGAGATCGCAGATCAGGTGCCGAAACTAAAATGACCAACAGGAGAGCAGCAGCACTGGAAATGGTCAAAGATTCAACCTCTCGGACACTCAAACTCTGCTTTGTTGCCCAGCAGGCTTCCTTTAGGGGAGATGGTTTTCTCCATCTGCCCATTTCTTCATGGCCTGGAAGAGATGGCGGCACATCTGTTCATTCACGTTCTCGGATCAGTAGACAATGAGTGATGCACGCTCTCTCCCAAGCTGGGCACCCTCCCTAGGCGTGCTCTTCCCCTCCTCTCTGTGACCTGAATTGAATTTCAGTGTCTCTTCAATCTGCTTCACAAGGTTTTGCTGCAGAGGGAGTGTTAGTGGGTAGAAAACCAGAGGTGTGTTCTGTTTATCCATGTCTCATAGTTAAGAGTTAAAGTTTGGAGATAAGATAACTAAATTATTTTACAATGGAGTGTTTTATCAAACATTTCTAAAGACCTGTGGAATCTTAAGAAGCTGAAGCTTAGCCATTCCCATCACTGTCTTCTCCAAGGTCACCCAAAGAGCTTGGAGGAGCTGAGGAGAGAGTAGGGTCTCTTGACTCTCAGCCCAAGATGCGTATGTTGTTGCCTCTTCTCTAATATGGTACTGAAGGATTTGCATGATCTGCACTTTCTATGTAGAGTTATAACATATTTTTTTTGGAGATATTTTTTGCTATAGAGCACATGTGCTTCCTGGAGAGACAGAGACAAAAAGCAAGAAATCATCTCTAAGGAGTGGATGGCCACACCACAATCCCTTTTCCTCCATTCTCCTCTCAGGATTTAGGCACACACGTGCCCAGTGTGGGTTTCAAGCTTTTGACTCAACCATGGTCAACCACGTGGGGGTCTAGGGCCTTAACCACTGTATCATCTACTGGTCCCCAGTTACAATATATTTTTAAAAATTATTTATTTTTTTATTTTTTAGTTTTTGCCATGGACATGTATGCTCGCCAGGGAAAGGGAAAGTGAGAAATCACCTTCCAGGAGTATAGCCATACTATAGTCCCTTTTCCTTTCTCCTCATAGGATTTCGGGAACACACGCACATGCACCCAGTGTGATTTTCCAGCTGCCAGGTCTGG